GCGGCTTTCTCCCTTTCCCCGTGGGACCCCGGGGCCCCGATTTATTCGCCCGCGACAAAACAACGCATAAACACATTACTTTTATAGTCCCCCGCCACGGGACCCGCTCGGTTTTTTTGGGTCGTGGAAAACTAGGTTTTATCGACTGGATTTTTTACTATTAGAAACAATCGCCTGAATGAAACTTGCGAATTGTCTGAAACATTTTTGCACTGCGAAAAATTATCGGCGGCGCAAAGTCTATTTTTGTTAATTGTTTTAGGTCTGCTTATAAAAAATATTTGCGATTTTATTCTTTATAATTTTGAATCTCACTTGCGTTTTTGCTCCTGAAAATCCAGTTTTTTTGCAATTTTTCAATTTCATGCCGAAAATGTTTATTAAATTTTTTAAATTTCGCAAAATCTTAACAATATGAAATAGGTATTGGTGTTTGTTAAATACTTTTCCTTTGATTGTTCAACATTTATCGATACAAACCGATGAGAAAACCGTAAAACCGATTTATGAGCAATTAATGAAACATTCAAATATTATGTAAATGCTTCTCGCAACGTCTTAAAGAGATTAATTTAATTTCAGATTTCGTTCTAGTTATTTTTCCCTATGATACTTACTTAGGAAGCAAAAGGCATAAATACATACTTTTATGGTGCCCCCGCCATGGCGGTTTTTTGGCTTTAAGAAAAATTAGGTTTTGTATGGACTGGATGGAGATTAATATTAGACAAAATTCCCTGAATAGAGCTACTTTTGAAACATCTTAGCATAATGTAAACTTTTGCTTCTTTTTTAGTTTGCAACACTAATTCTTTGTGATTGATGAATACAATATGCTAGCAATACCACCTAAAATTTGGATACGTAACGAAACACCTTTACAAGATGAAGGCCGATGACCATTTGGAAAAAAATTCCTAATTAGCTTTTTTACGGTTGGTAAATAGCACACAAAACTTGTTATTTAAGACCCGTTGCTACCGAGCTGCATTAAATAAAGTCTGTCCGAATTTTTAGTAATTTTTGACACATTTAGAAAACCTGAACGGCTTCGGCGCCGTTTTCCATCAGTTAATTATGCGTTTCATAGGTTCTAGATTTCTCTTTATTTCTGATGATTTTCTATTTTTACGTGGAAACAACACGCATAAAAAATCCTGACGGAGGGCTTAATAGCTGTAGAAATACTCGCTAACTATCCGCGATTTTCTGAAACTTCTTGGGCCTGTATCTGGGCCGTTCTTGATTTTGAGGGCCCGAGACCTTCCTCCCGAAACGGTTCAGGCAGAGAGCTACAAAGTGACATATCGCATGTGCAGAATAGAGCTATTTACGAATTTAGCCAGCCTGCAAAAATCTCGGCGACAGGAATTACCTTCCAACCTGATACTGATTGATCCCTCATGATTTTCTTTTTTTGGAATGGATGGAAAAAAGTAATGTGGTTAGAAATACTTCCTAAACCTTGACGATTTGATGAAACATTGAACGTTGATCTTCCCCAAAAATTTTTAGTTGTTTCGTGTTTTCTCATGGGGCAGAATTATTGCTTCAGCGGATTGCGACTTCGTTTTTGATCATGAAACCTAATTTTTGCGTGCTAATACGCGTAATAATGCTAGACAACTATTAACCACTTTTAAAGATTATCATTGCACTGGTCGACGATTTGTAAATACAAAACAGCTGGCAAACAAACGAGACAAACGAGACAAAACAAGAGTTAGTGACACGGAAATACTGCCCAAATTTTGGGTATATGGTGAAACATCTGAATTGTAGAAAAAAATTACCTGTCACGCACACGGTGAATTAATGTTTGAGAAACAACGCACAATTGCGGAGATTTTAACGTAACATTTTAAACTGTCAATGAATTAATTTTAAGCCTTAATTTTCCTGTTGATTGCTGCACGTTTTTTACAGGTATATCACTAATTTTCGTCGTAGCACTTTCGTTGTATTGTTCTCAGAAATACGCCATAAAATTTGCGCTTTTGTGAAACATCGAAACACTACAGGGTGATCGATTACACAAAAATCGACCCCCCTCTAGCGGGCCGTAGTCATGTCCGATCGTGACGATTTAGGTATCTATCGAAAGCTCTCAAAAAGGCGAGAAAACAGGCATTTTCGTTTCTTAAGATAGGCATTTTTATCTAAAAAAAACTCCATGAAGATGCAGATTTTATGCAAATTCAGCATGTTAATTGGTTGTGACAACGGAAAGCGTGTTTTCTGGCCTTCGATAGAGCTGTTGAATGGTGTAATAATCATCTCGATCCGACCGCTAAAGAGGGTCGATTTTTTTGGGACACCCTGTATGAAAATGCGAAAATCGGGTGATCGTGAAAACTCATTCAAGTTTTATCATCTAGAAAGGTGGTAAGACTTTTTTGCCCCCCCCCCCACCCGTAAGTTCCCAAACGTTTTTCGCTATAAAATTTTTTGATATTGCTTTTTTGGGCTGTAATTACGACTCTTAGTATAGTTTTTTAGTGCTTCATCGAATGGCGTAGCCAAAATCCCGACAAAGCGGAAATTCGAAACATTTCGGGAAATTTCGGCTGGGCGGGGTGGATCCAGTCGACAACGCCAATCGTGTCTGACTCTGCCCCGGCGAGGCAGATATAAACATCTGCTAACAATGTTTTCCCGGCGAAGAATGACCCGGGTCAAATGATTGCACTAATGAGAAGCAAAGAACTTTTGGAATGATATTATAATATCAACTAAATTTATCTTAATTTTTATATTTAGTGCCGCTTCGGAAGGAGCAGTAGTGCCAAATAAAATATTTCTAAAGTTCTTTTCATCAATTTGACTCTCGAGAAGGGAGCGTAAATGTGTTTAGCCTCGCTTTTTTCCAAAACGGCCGCCATAACTGATATAAATTATTTTTGTTTAGACATACATAAAACATATTTCAAATTTACTAGGATGCGCAAGCTGCGTGCTACATTGTCTTAACCTTACAATGTCGAGCTTTTAACTTGCATGAATTATGATATTGGCAAAAACGATGGTAAAGATTTTATCCCAATATTAATTTTTTTCCGGTTTAACATAACCCTTTTTCGAATTTCTGGCAATAATACGAATTGGCGAATTTAATCCTAAAAACCCGGAGCAGTACGCCTAGCTGTCAATATATATCCAAGCCATTACATGATTAATGCTTGAGCATACAAAATTAATTAAAATTATGACTAAAAATTAATATTATCTTCAGTAATGAGGATTATAGTTGCATTTTTTCGCTATCGGCTCAGGCTTTAACATACTGCGTAAGGTGGAAACTGCTGGTGCCGTTTAATAACTCTATTACAATGTTTACAATGACGTATTCACTAGTTATTATTGTTTTACAAGACAATTGCAAAAATCAAACGAGGCCGTGGGTCTACTATTAGTGCGATAAATTGTTTCCCCGTGCGCTTACGAGTCAGAGCAGATGTCGTTATCACATCTGCCCTGCCGGGGGAGCGATAGACACGCAGAGTACGATTGGCGTTGTCAACGTCGTCCGGGGCGGGGTAAAGTGAATTCTAGCAAAAATGTGACTGTTCGTATCTATTTTGGCTTTGGGGTTTACTTTAGCGAAACATTCTTTTGCTGAGAATTTCAGTCAATTGGCTCCGCTGAGCCGTAAAAAAAGTCTGCTTCGGTTCCTGGTTGTTATAATTCGCCTCAGCATGCACAGCCTTTCTTCCAGGCAAATAGCAAGATGCGAACGCAACGCGCCCGCATCGCAGGCTCCTTGGTCCCAGTTTCGACGTGAAAGCGCTTGAATTTTAAAATTCGGCTGCTATTTCTGGAATCGTCATGCGATTCCGATCATTCTAACTGTTTCAAATTTAAGCAATGACCCCGGAAAGAGATCTTTGAATTGGGTTCTTTACAGCGCATTACGACATGTAAAGCCCGCCCGTCCAAACCCAAAACATTTCCATTTTTCTCAAAATTTCGCGTTTCTTCGCGGGAAAGAATTTTCGGATACCCGTAGAGTGTCCCTTCAAGTTTTGAAGCTAATGTTTGAGTCCCAAGCACACGAATTTTGACTTCTTAGCTCCTTTAAGGTGCCGAGACGGCTTGTTCAAGAGATTATTTCCTTCAAAATGCAAGTTAATGGGTAAGCGGAGTTCGGACGCCGGCGTATTATTTTTATTCTCACAAAGGCAACCCCAATTTTTCATGAAACATCAAAATTCCCATGCTATGTACAAAGTGAGTATTGAAAAGGTCTGCAAGCTTTCTACCATATAATTATTCACAAATTTATTTATTTATTTAGTATGTTTTCTCTTTTTCCATAGATTTCTCCTTCATCAAGGTTTCTCCAATTAATAACCGTCTGATTTTCCACATGTTTCATCATTCCATCTATAAAAAGTGTGAAACAACTTTTTACTGAATAACCGGTGTTCCATCAGAATTTTCTTTCAAGTCTTCGCTGGCTTGCCTTCGCCCGCTTGCTTGTTTTCCATTTTATTGTAATCTTCCCCCATTGTTTTTTTTATATCGAAATTTAGAGAATGTCATCATTAATGATGGCGCTCGACAATCAGGATCGACAGGCCACCGCCCGGATCCTGTCGACGATGCCGGTGAATATTTTAATGTTTCAAAAAATTTAAAATTGGCTGGGGAAATGATGGCATTAATAACGTTCTCTCTTTTTGGGCGCAAAACAATTTAAGATGAAAATCGGATACGTTGGTGCAAATCGGATAGAGCGGAATTTATGTTTAAAAAAAAAAACTAGATTTCATTCCAATGCATATACTGCTAGTAAATAGACAGTTTCTTCTTGGGACTAGCGGGGCGATTTTGAAAAAAAAAAATGAAAATTCGGAAGCAAGCGGTTGAAAACGGCTTAATATTTCAGAAAGTTTTAAATGCCGTGCAAATGTTTTGCAGCTAGTATCACAATGATTCGTAGCAAACCAACTAAAGATCAAAATCGGATCTATTGGGTTAGTGCGATTCTTGATTTGTTAGTGAGAATGAGCTGAAGGCGCGGTAGCGAAGTCGATGTGGAGGGCCGTGTGATGGGGGCGTTGGCAAGTTTTGCACTTGAATGATGAAGGACACTCCCAGGTGTTGTGTGAGTCGTAGCAGCAGTTTTTGCAGAGCTTTTTCTGTTTGGCGGCTTCGTTGCGTTGTCTTGGGTCGAGTGGACAATTCCAAATGGTATGGGCTGGTGATTGGTTCGGTGGGCAGAGAGGACAGAGTTTTCGATGTCGAGCTGCGCCAGAGGTCCCAGATTGGGAGTTGTGATGAGATGTCCAATTGTTGGATCGAGGGGAGTGACGTACGGGAGCGTTGAACCCATGTTTGATGTGCTGAGTGGCGGCTCCGTCGGCATTGTGTAGTAGGTTGAGGTCCTTTTCGGCGAGAAGGAGTTGCTTCAGTGAGTCGAGCAATGAGTTGGCGGTTGTCGCATTTGTCAGTTTAGCGATGAGCCGTTTCGGAAATTTGCGCTTGATGATTTGAGTGTAGATGGGCGAGTTTTCAGCTGTTTGGTCGTATTGTTGGAGGCGATGTAGTAGAGCTTGTAGCGAGTGAACGAGAGCTATGTAGTCATCCGTTCTGGGCTCAGTGTTGGAAGAATGAGCGGCTTTTGATTGAAGGATTTGGTCGCGGAAACAGTCGGCAAGGATAGTTGGACGATCATATTCTTGTCGAAGAAGTTGAAGTCCCTTTTGGTAGGAGGCTGCTTCGATGGGCAAGGTGTCCAGGGCTAATTTTGGTCTTCCGCTGGTGGCTTTGAGAAGCCAAGAAAATTTCTGTTGTAAGGGGAGGGGTGCTGGATCCAGTATGTTGTGGATCGATTCGTTGAAGGCTGGCCATTGGAGATAGTTGCCGTCGAATTTCGCAATTTCGCTCGGGTTGGGGTTTTGTTGGACGTAGATTGTGGCTGGAGGAGTTTCGGTGGCTGTGGGCAGAGGTGGAGCTGAAGTTGGTGTGGCTGGACGAGACGGGGAGGTGGCTGGAGTTGGTGTGGTGCGACGGAGAGATCCCGTTGGTTGGCTTTGGTAGGAGTCAAACTCGATTTGTAGTCGTGCTTGTAGTTGTTCAATTTTTGACCAGTTTTCTTCAATACGTTCAAGGACTTGCATGGGGTCCTTGTTCGTGTGAAACGTTTCGAGAGACGCTTCCCAGCTGTGGTCGAGATGTTTCATTTGCCGCATCAATCAGTTTAGCCCAATCACCAAGATAACTGTTGATTCTCAGGCTGAATTGTGAGAGTGTCGCATGATGGATTTGTAGGCTGCTTATCTGGGCTTTCAGATCCCAAAACCCCGTTTCCCCAGGTTTTTTCATTTCCTGAATTGTGGTGTCTAGTCGTATCATCTCCTTGTTGGCCAGATTGATCACCTTGCTTAATTGTCGTTGCAAATTGGAGGACGACATGTCTTTGTTTGAGCCGAGGCTGGTTGCTGACCGCCTCGTGATGGAAAAAAAGGGCGAAAAGGCAGAAAGCAAAATATTGTGTAGAACGTATTTTGACTGGAGAGATCCGAAGATAGAAAGTTCAACTTATTTTTGCAGAAGATGAAGTCGTTTCGATTGTGGTCGCCAATTGTTGTGATAAATGCAGTTTAGGAATTCAGTGTGCAATTTCAGGGTTTAGGAAATGTTGGTCTCTGCTTTATTTCACATCGTTTTGCCTTTATACTGTCGTCTCATCATTATTCCGTGGAGCGGGGTCGTGTTGGCGTTTTATAGCTTTCATGGTGGGAACCGATTCCATTTGGTGTTGTGTGATCACCGATGCGGTGACACCAAATAAAGATCAAAATAGTATGTAATTCGATTATCCGATCGGGCAGAAGCAGGTTGGTGTTTCAGAAAATTTCAAATAGGCTTGAAAAGATATTAGGCTAGTATGCGAACCACAAGTCTGGCTAATATCAATGAGACCTGTTTCGATTATTCTAATTACTAGAAGCAGATTAACGTTCCAGAAAATCTTAGTTTTTTTCAAAGCCAGGACCCCGATGATTTCGACCCCCAATAACCGGGCAATGAACCAAATGGGGCATTTTGCCTATTCGTTGCGGCGGAAATCGAATCAATGTTTCAAAATTTTTTAAAAATGCTGTCGAAATTCATGAAGCTAGTAGCAAAATATGCCGGCCCCAAAAACCAAGTAGAGGTCAAAATCGGATCTATTGCGTCGCTCCGAATCGCGTAGACAGGAACGATGTTTCAAAAAAAACCCAAAACTAAATAGCGGGTTATAACGCTAGTAATAGCTTCGCAACAAATTCCTTCAATTTAATTAGATTTTAAAAATTTCAACAAAGATCATCCAAACGTTAAAATGAACCTGACTGAAACCCCGACGGATGAATTGTAAAAATTGAAACATTTATTACCGTTAGGCTTTGTGGCTCTGCTCCATTAGCGGGGGGGTGTAAAATATCTTGATGGAATTTTACGCTTTTTTTAGATATAGAAAGCGTCTCAAAAATTGTGAAAGTCTCCAAAAATAGTGAGAGTTTTGATAAAAATGACTGGTAAATAGTAAAAAACACCAAAAAAATTTTTTTAAGTGTTGTTATAACGTTTCGGGCATCGGCAACGGCACAAAAATGCTATAAAAATCCATCTTTTTATTACGGTAGATCAATCAATTGCGCCCCTCCCTGCCAAGAGAATAGAACCGAGATTTTTGAGCGAAGTCTCGATCCGCGATGGCGAAGAGCGAGTAGCACCCATTTTGCGGCCGAGACGATGGATAACGAGACATTTGCATCAATCTACGAGCAAGACCCATCACTTGTCGACTCACAAGATGCCTATGGGTACGGTGGAATGGATGTGTTTTAAAACTATGTCGTCCAAAAATGGCTAGCGCATTTAAAAGGATTTTTGGGGGCACAATCCAGCATATTAACCAGGCAATGATTGCAAATTAGTGCCCGATTTCTGAAACATCTCTCACAACTTTTTAATTTTAAAAGAAGTTTGTCTGGTCTAGCAATGACTAATAACGTAACGCAAGTGTTTTGATAATTTTTCTAATAAATTTAACGATATTTCAGCGGAAAACTATCCTAAAAACTTTCACCTTTTTTACAAATTCGAAATTTTTTGTAAGTCGGCCATTTTTTGACGAAAAATGTTATCAATACGGTTTTTAATAAACCCATGTAAAGTTTCTACGTTTAGAAATAGTAGCATAATAGCTTAAAAACACATCTACCATCGATTTTATTGGTTAAAAGGAACAAAAGGAAAATTTGGATGCCGCCCTTTAAAAATCACGACTTGCCTTGACCGCGCCGTTAACGGGACTGAGAAATGGCCGAATCAACACCCGAAATACATTAGGTATCGACGGTTTCTAATGCGTTCAAAGTAGCTCAAAATTCCAAGGAAATCGCAAGAAGAATCTACCTGCTCAGAACCGACACCAAATCAAATTGAAGCGCTGCCTTTTTGCTGCCTGGGTCACTTTTCTGAAACATTTAATTTAATGCGGCCAGAATTGTCCGAATCTATGAAAACCTCTGAAGCTTCATTAAAGCACTTCATTACTTCTTTGAAATGTAAAAGTCGGTCCGACCGCGCATAGATGCCAACTTCGCCAGGAAAAACTTCCAAAAAGAGTTGTTTTTTTTATGTAAAATCGCGAAATTCGCAAAACCATTTTGACATCGTACGTTTATGGGACTTGCAAAATGAATGTTATTTCTCAAAGCAGAATCGCAACTTTCGACTTCGGGCGATTAATCTGTTCTGTGTTCAGATCGATCTGTTCGCTCCATAAACATCTTTAAAATGTTTAAAAAAAATTTTAATTGCCAATTTAATTGGTACCGTTCCATCTATCAGCTTGCTCGCCAGATAACACTTGTTTAGAAAGCGTGTAGAACCAAGAAAAAGAACAATTTTGAAAAAGACAAAGATTCAGGACTGCTACATTACCACGCAGTATTTATACCAGAGCTGAAATTTAGGTGAAACATTCAAAAAATTCGCTCGCTGGCCAACGTCCTTGAAAAAGATTGCATATTTTTTAGATGCTTAAACTAACTAAATTTGATGTAAAATAAGAATTAAATCAGTTTAAACTTCCAGATATACCCCTTTGATGATCGCCGTGATGTCGGGACGGACCGAAGTGGCCGATTTCTTGATTGCAAAGGGTAAGAGAAGAATGTTTTTGAAGAACCAGTCCTTCAGCCGATATACAGGAAATGCAATTTTAGAGCAATTTTGGCTGGCACTCGATCCTTTTTCAGTCAGAAAGCAGAAAATTATTTTCCAAAAACTATTAAAAAAATTTTTGTTGAAATTCACCGGTGTAAATTAAATATTAAATGCAGAAAAATAGCTTAATTTGTTGTTCCCTTTTAATAAAACTGCATCGAGCGTCCAACAATTTTGATAGTTTTGAAACCTATTTTCTTCAGGTTCGAACTTGAGCCATGTCGACAAGGACGGGCACAACGTCGTCCACTGGGCTGTAGTTTGTGGCCAGGTACGGCAATTCTTTTGTTATATATTTTTTTTATCATGTATCTCACATTGCTTCTGCATTTTTGTTAAAGTTTCCAGCGTTAACGTTCGCACAATTAGAACTAGCAAAAAAAAGTTTCTAGGATTCAGGCTTTGAAACATATATTTTTGGTAACCATTTTTAATGAAAAATCGTTCCGGGATCATACCGAGGCCGAAAATGCCTAACGCCAGGTCAATTTCAATAGCCAGAGCATCTTTAAAAATAAAAAGGTATCAAACTATTTCATTTCCAGCTGGAAACGCTTACTCTGGTTTTGAACGAGGCGCCGATCCGGCCGTGCCGGATTTGATGGTATGTTTCAAACATGGTGCTGTGGATTTTTAATGGGTTATTTAATGACATATTCAATGTGCGGGCTAATGTAACAGTGGTTTTTATCTGTTTCAACCTCCGGTTTTTGATATTGTAATTAGAACCTGTTGGACCGTTTTTACCAGCATAATTATTTAACTTTTTGGCAACCAGCTTCGGTATTTTTTAAAACTGTTTACTTTATCAAACTTTTAAAACGGTGTTTCCAATTTCAGGTTTTTTGAATACAAAAATGATAAATTTTTACATGCCCGGACACCTGTACCTGTTATTTTTTTACTTTTTACGGCGATCTTCCGGATCTAAAACTAATTACGCAGTCTTAGAATTGAAAATTTTGTACTTTTTTGGAAACTGTAGTTTTCAATCTGAATTCTTGGTTTCCAGACTATGGACTTTCATAATGTTAATTTTTCTTGAATATCCCCGCCTAGGGTACTTTAATTAACATTTGTTTTGAAACATGAATATATCTATCCTTTGTAGAAGGCCCACCTGCTCCATTACTCCACGGCAGCTGAAGAGATCCCCAGCGATACCGCGATTGCGATTTTGCATACGCTGTTAAAGTAGGTTTTGTTTATGAATTATGATGGTACCTTTAACGCCAACATCATTATAGCCAAATCGCAAAAACAATTATTGTTTTTGGAGATTGATAATTCCCAATGCTATTTTTTATGTGTCGCCAGGAGTTTAGAATGTATTTAAAGAATATATAGTGACAAGTAACAGTACTGGAGTGATTAAATTTATCCAAAAAGATGCTTAAAATGACAAAAGTCCTTCGCAATTTGTTAACTAGCAAATATCAGAACTGTGAAATAAAATGTTTCACGAAAAATCTTGTGACTGGCCGCAACAAGGTCATAATAGGGCCATCCCGTCATCTTGCCAATTTCAGTCTTCCACTCCTATATTTTCCAATTTTTTGTTAAATGATGAAAATAAGTCTCAAATCTCAAGAAATTAGGTTTCCGTTGCCTTCTAAATAAAATAATTTATTAATTATAATTTTGAATAACAAGAACTATCTAAATGTAAATTATTCTCTGTATCGATAAGAAATAGCCAATGAGCTACCGACAATTTTGGAATCCTTTTTACAAAAACCCTGAAAAATGAAATCACAAATTCGCTCATGAATTAGAACCGTTTTTTACACCAATTATATAGTGTTTTTTACGAAACATCTGATTTTAATTGTGCTTTTGCATGGCTGGTTTATAACATAAATTTAGACCGTCTGCTCAATTTAAAGAGATGGTCATCAATAAAATTATTTTGGGCGAGCGGTTAAGGAAAACATACAAAAACGAGAAATGTTTCACGAAAAATATTGTCACTGCCCGGTAGCAGATACCAATAGTGTTATTATCATCCCAGTTTAGTGTTCACCCTCATATTTTCCTTTTTTCCTAGATGAGGAAAAGCCCAATGTCCTAAATTAAAAATCGAGTTTAGAAAACTGGGTTTCGCTGTTCTATTAATTAAGCACGATAATGCTTCGAATTTAAAACAAATTTAAATATCAATTTAATTCAATTAAAAATTTTTTTGAAAACGATAAAAATTATGTTTTGATCAGAAGAGTTGTTCTAAGCTTATTTGGAGCATCAATTCGAAGCGTTTTTGGACAAATAGATCTCAGCATCCAAGAATTCAAATTTTACGGTTTTTGGTGAAATCCTACTATATATAAAAAAATAGTGTCTGTGTGTGTGTGTGTGCCACTTTGCCTGCAACTTCCGTCAGCGTGTCCGGAGGATATCTCAAGAAGGGAAGGGATGAAGCGGGCGTATGATACGTCATTAGAGCGTAATGGCCTGTAGATGACTGCACGCATATCAGATTTTTCAAAATCGATTGTTTTCGACATTAAAATTAAGTTTTCTCCTTAAAAATCGGACATCCTCTTTGTTAGGAAAAATTAGCATATGCCGGAAGTAGGAGTAGCCTATATAATCGGGGAGAGGACGCGATTTTCATTTTTTGACATAACAGTGCGGAAGGATTATGCAAAGCGAGGCATATCATAGGGTTGGACGGGGCCAGGGTTGAAAAGTCGCGACGCGGCTTTTCAACCGTGGTATCCAATTATATATTTAAAATGAATAAGATCAATAAAAAAAATCAAAAAAATTACCTCTTAAAAAATAATATTTCAGAAAAGGGGCACACGTGAACTGTGTGGACATTGACGAGCGGACGCCGATCCTTTGGGCGGCTAGTAACGGTACGATTTTAAAAATTTAGTTTTAAATTTATTTTAAATTTTAGAGATGTTTAAATTAGCATTTACGCTATCAGTGAAAATTTATTGATCAAGCGAAACAATACGACAAATTAAGGAACCAAAAACAACGTAGCTGTTGAGTTTATATGAAACATTCTTTTTCTTCCGCGAAATTTTTTTGCCGCTCTGTTAAAACCAAATTTTTAAATTGATTTGATATTACCTTAAAAACCCGGGTACAGTTCCGGTACACTTTGGCGACGTACCAATACAAATGACGCGGTAATAATGTACGTTCCCGCCCTCTCGCTGCAAGAGCTATGTCAGCCAAAAGAAGCGGTTATTAGGAATCCCTATTTCAATTTCTTAAAAAAATTAAACCACTCAAAATACAGGAGTTAGTCGACATGTGAGCGAATCTTCCACCGAAATTGTAAAAATACGTTTCGTGAACGGAATTATTTGCAAGGAAACGAAAAACGATACACACCGATTTACGGTCAGACGATATTACGAACGCTACGTACTTTTCATCCGGAACTATGTATACTCGGGATCTTAGGGTAAATGAAAAAGGCATACCGCTAAAATTTGGCTATTCATATGGGACAAAAAACACTGGAAAATCAAGATAATCCTACCTTATATTCTGCATAATACGGACTACTTCACGCACACTAACTTGGAACTTTATTGAAACACAAATTTTTTTTTAAAAACTGTTGTTTTTAGGCAACATCGAGGCGCTGATCTCGTTGACGCAAGCCGGTGGGGATATTCAGGTTGGTTACGGTAGTTTATCGATTGTTATAGATTTTATTTTGTTGCAACGTCGCTCTAACACATTTCAAACTACGAAAATACGGTTTTCAAATGCTGATTTAATCCAAAAAATCAGACTATTATTGTCCGCGCAAGGCGGTTTTGAATCGAAATTGCATGATTTTAAGGGATTGTCATCGACTATAATTTTAGGCAGTGGATCGAGATCGACTGGGCGTTTTGCACTGCGCAGCCAGCCATGGATATCACGAGGTAGTTTACTCAGCCTAACCGATTACGACCCCTATCCGGTCGAAATCGGCGTGCGCGTTGCGTGCCGCGAATTCCGGAAACATCCAACTGTCGCAATTTTTGATCACGAGCATAAGGCTGACTTTTTATTTTTGAAGTGGATCGCACTCCAGATTAAAGATATCGGTTCTAAAATTACTGCCATTAATTGTGAAACATTTTTTTTTCTATAGCCTGCTGGGAGAGTCAAGGCTGGAGATTTCTGATGGATTGGGTAATCATTTTCTTTCAACTTCTTGCGGTGAAAGATGCGGAAGAATGTTCTACAGGAAATAGCCATGAAAATCCATAGCCGGTCCTTACCTTAATGCATACCTTTAAAAGCTGGGAGAAAGATGTTTTGGGTTTGAGGGGACGAAATTTCATCTTTTCTGATTAATTACGCTCTCGTACTTCAACGCCCCGTACCTCCTTTTAAAGAGATGATCAAGGCGTGGGTTATGGATTCTGTTTGGTATGGATACCGTAGGGCACCCGCGACACGCGGCGGGAACTCTCATCTTTTCATAGCGTTAGTGATTAGGATACCTTAATCGTGTGAAATCGGCGTCAGACTGATTTCCATAGGTTATGAAGCATTTTTCTATGCATTGTTTGGGCCGGCAAGATTTCGACTCCGAAGTTTTTCGCGCATCCTTCCTTGGCCTCCGCCCAATATGGATATCGGATCTTGAGGTATTGCCATAAATCGTGAAAGATTTTTCTATTAATGGCTTTTTGGGATAGTATGGCTATGGATTTACCGCGGAATAGGAAAAACACCTTTCTGTCCGCCCTATTGCTGGTCGCGAATACTGACCTATCTTCTACAGGAAATAGCTCACGAAAATCCATGGCCATGCCTTGACTTTACCGTTAAAACTGGTAAGAGTGGAGAAAAATGTTTCATTGTTATATGGTCTAAATTAGAGCGGCTTCGTCTTTAATCGCCATTGACGATGGGCTGGTCCTCCGATCTCCTTTAGAGCGGTGAAAGGCAACAATTATGACCGCCCAGTCGGCAAGCACGCAACGCGCGCTCCGCCCTGACATTACGTAATGGGTTCTGATGCCTTGATCGCCGTAAATCGGCGGTCGCGTTGCGTGTCGCGGCTCCCGAAAACATTCAAATGTGGTAATTTTGCCTGCTGGGGGATACGGTAATGTTGACATCTCGTTGCACCGCCCCATTAAACATAACGGCTCCCCGAACTTTGCGGCGATCACTTTTGCGGCGCGAACTTTGCGGCGCGAATTTTGCGGCGCGAACTTTGCGGCGCGAACATTGCGGCCGAATTTTGCGGCGCGCACTTTTGCGGCGCGAACTTTGCGGCGCGAATTTTGCGGCCGAATTTTGCGGCGCAACAAATATTAATGGAAATCATTTGAATTCAAAATTTGTTTTGAGTTCAGGATCAGATTTCAGAGGAATTTCAGAAATTCAGAATCAGAATCACCGCCAGTTTTGTTTTTGTAATGGTTATATATGTAATTCCATACAAATTAACTGCAACTTTACGCAATGCCGTGACCTCTTGGGGGCGTCAGGCAAGGTGGGCCGTCGCTTCGGATTGGCTGCCGCTCCACTCTTTCGAAATCAGGGCGCCTGGGCGCTGCGCGCTCCTCGGGCGCCCCGATTTCGAAACCCTGTACGAGCTCGCACCCATCCGAAGCGACTAGGCCCTGGGTGGCACGAAGCCTTTTTCTAGTCGCAGAGCGGAAGAAGTATCGATTACTTTCCCCCAATTCGAGTGACTCCTGTCTTCTAACGTTTCTATGACGAAATTCGGATGCACTGCAAAAAATAACCAAAGACGTGCCTAACAAGCACCGCGCCGCAAAATTCGGCCGCAATGTTCGCGCCGCAAAATTCGCGCCGCAATCTTCGGCCGCAAAGTTCGCGCCGCAAAATTCGCGCCGCAAAGTTCGCAGCCGCAAAATTCGCGCCGCAAAGTTCGCGCCGCAAAAGTACGCGCCGCAAAGTTCGCGGCACCCTAAACTTCATCTGCGGCATGATTAATTCGGTTCTGGTACTTGAAACCCTGTTGCCTCCCTTTAAATGGATGGTCAAGGCGTGGGCTATGGATTTGGTTTGGTATGGATACGCATCGGGAACCACACCCTTGATTGCGTAATGGAAGATGCCGCCTTGATCACGGTAAATTGGCGTACGCGTTGTGTGTCGCGGCCGTCGGAAACCCCAGGTTTCGTAATTTTTTTGGAGCTGGGGATACGATCTCATCTCAGCTTAGTTCAGGATTAGTAGAGGTATCGGCACAAGACTTACTGCCATAAATCGAAACATTTTACCAAAATCCTGTTGGGCTCCAGATTTCCTATGGATTGGGAAAATTGGGGAAAAAAAAAGAGAAAAACACCTTCTGTCGTGGCGTAACGCGCGTCCGTTCCGCGGATACGGAACAATCTCAGCTAGATACGTGCTAGCCTTAAAAATTGCACGAATGTCGAAAGTTGTCTTCGGTTTAAGGGACTCAATTTCGTTTGTTTCATGGTTAACTCTCCACGGGTTTTTAAGCGACACGTAACGCGCACCCCGCTCTTTCCTTGCCTAATGGATTCTGCCGACTTGATAAAGATAAATCGGTGTGCGCGTGGCGTGTCGCGGCTTCCGCAAGCAGCCAAATGTCGTAACTTTTCGAGGTGGGGATATGATCATAGTGCTCAGATATTTATGGCGAGTTGCGTAGTCACCAATTAAAGGCATCGGTTCAAGAATTACTCCCCGCAATTGTGAAACGTTTTTTCTATGGCCTGCCGGGACGGACCGTGGATTTCTTGTGGAATTTCCATGTGCCTGCCAACTGATTCTAACTGACTCTAAGGATACTTCCATAGATCGTGAAACATTTTTTCCATGGCTGTTTGGGAGCGGCAAGTCCATAGATTTCTTATGGATTGGGAAAACGTCTTCTAAACTTATTTTGTGTCGCGGATACGGATCAGTTACCGGAAGTATATCCTGCCTCTAGCTTTAAAAATAGGACGATCGCGGAAAGATGTTTCAAGATTGTTGGGACCAAAGTTCATCTGTTTTGGTACTAATCAACGAATCGTACGAATATCCATAGCCACGCCTTTAGGCTCCCTTTAAAAAGTAGGACGATTAAAAATGTTTCAGAGTAAAATGGACTAATTTTCAGCCGGTGAGAGTGAATACGTGACTCGTTGCGACCCAAACGAAAATTCAATAAACTTTTCAGATCATTGAGAGATGTCTCCAATCGATGCCCCGTAAATTGGTAGACGCGAGGGATCGACAGGGAAATACACCACTCTTCTATGCGGTCTCACATGGACATTACGATGCTGCAAGACTACTGCTCGCTGCCGGATCCAACCCTAATCATCAGGTGAAATTTTTAGAGGATCTTAGCGTTTCAAAAAAACTGAAATGACCCAATAATAAGCATTAAAAAAAATGCTTTATGGCTTCGGGCCAGGTGGGGATGCATGGAAAATTAATAGCGTGCACTCTAGCTTCTTTCTTAAAGCGGCTACGCTATTTGCTCTTGTATTTTAAATATAAAAATAAAATTCTAGACTTTACTGACACCCTCCCCAACCCGAAGATCCCAAAAATTTCGACATGCTAGAGCATAAAAAATATACTAGCAGTTTAAATTGCACGTCAAAATAATGGACTATAAAAAGGTATATCGTATTACTTTTGGGAACTTCCGAATGGGGGAGGCGGTGTAAAGTAAAGCCTTACCCGTAAATAACAGCTAGAAAGAAAGCGTTTCATTGCCGGGTACCAACTGTTGATGCGTGGAAGAATTAATGTCTCGCTTGCGCTCGCTCCTTTAAACTTTCTACGCTTCTTTCCCAAATAGACTACCTTCCTTTTTTCGTTTCGAATTGAACTTAAACAGCATTTAAAAAGTCAAGATTTTGATGCTACAAAACGCTGTAAAACGGCCTAAGGGAAAATATGTTGTAAAGATTTCTGAATTTGCCTGTTTTCTTTGATGGCTCAGTAGGGGATTGTTAGGCGCCAAATCGTTTTTAATGTTCGTTGAGAATACGCGGCTGGCATTTAGGAAAATGAAGTCCGGTAAGCCTATGCTTAAAACTTTAATTCTCAAATAAACGCTGCCAGTTGCCGTCCCAAACCAAAACTATATAAGAAAATAATAGAAAAAAGACAATGTTTCATGTCTTGGGGTCAGTTGCAAAGCCTTGGAAGGAATAATAAGGAATAAGAAGGAATAAATTGCCTTACGCCCAGCATCTTTTGCCTAAGACCAGCGAGTTAGACCAGCACTTTACCTTGCCCTCTCCATCCATCGATGAGTGTGCTCGCATTCTAATGGTTTACATGCCGATAAACTTTGTGTATACCTTTTGTATCCTTATACCGAAATGCATTGGATTCTATTACACGATTGTAGAAACTACCACTGAACATTACTGCTTGTATAGCCTCTTGGGATCCCTTGCCATCTCCCGGTCTATCGGATGCAGGGTTGTCCGAGCGGGGCCCAAGGGGCAAAGTCCAAGGTGATAGTGTGGCAACTCTAGCCTCCTCCGTGATCTTTATAGTAGAGGAGTTGGCGCAGAGGGACTATTACTTTCGACAAGGTTGGTAACCCGGATTTCCGACTTCCGGTTTCCTATTTAGATACCGCGTTTCCTCTAATTCCTCTTATTTTGATCTGTGAAAAAAAGTGTTGTCTCAATTTATGACGGGATTAGGTTTCGAAGGCCAGCCAAAACTGGTATTCCTAAAAATTGTGGGATCTTGACCCAACCGAGAAAATGTTTCACGTATGACATCCTAATTTGAGGGCGCGAAACGGTTAGTATAAGCGTTAGCCTTCAGATTTATCGGCCCCGCACGCGAGCAGAGAT